AAATAAAGTCACGTGCTCCAGCACGGAACTCAAATATGGTGGTTTCAACGTCAGAGGTCTACATGAACCCGGAGTTTGCTTCACTTATTGATGATGGCAAGCGACTCTCACTCCCTCTGGTGTTAACTAATTTTAATATTACATATGGGTTCCGGAAATTGCCGGATCAACACTTAATATTTGATTGAAATAAAACAAACCCTAAAACCAGGCAGCCCTATGCGACAATCGGTTTCGCATATCTGCCACTTTGTTACCTAACCTGATAATATCTTTGCAAGGGAGATCTCACTGACAAAATCCCAGCACACTGTCATATCTTTTGAAACTAAACTAGCAACGGTTTCCGAAATACTGTCTATAATGTCTTTGGGACATACTACTACTACTGTATTCAGTCTTCTAACCAGAAGTGGAAACTATGTTTGATTGTGCTTCCCAAACGGTGTGTTTCTCAAAGCATAAACAAATCGAGCACTACTGTCGAGAAATGCCAGTAGGTTGATGAAAATCTATCGAAATCACCACGGGTGTTTATTCGACTTATGCAATGCGCAAAGTGATTCGTTTCAAATCAACTCTGATACCACCATTACAACGTTCGATATGGCCATATTTGAGCATGCTTTTCGGAATATGCAAACAACTATCGATCCGTTGAATATTTCACAGTAAAACTGCTAAGCTCACTTAGGCGAACTTCCGAGAAAATTTCGCATAGAATTCGGTCGGAACTGTATTGGATATTTTTAGCTGACCAGAGATGGAGAGATGAGATATGGAGCTCTACCGTTACGTCTAGCTGTCCGTATATCACGGAAAAGCTGCGGGAGCACCATTTAGCTGTTTCAATTTTGGTTCAACTCGTCCACAGTACCAACCTATCCAACTTGTGACAACCCTGTGGTATCGACCACGTTATGGATACGATCGACTGAGTTATCATCACTAGAGGTGTGTGAGAAGAAAAAGGGGAACAGAAGTTCATCAGAGGATTAAAAATACCATTTGTGACACATTCTATTCGATAGAAATTGATACATTAGCTCAGTTGTCTAACGGTTGGATCATCAATGAATATGGAACTCAATAAGGGGGCTTGCTGACGCCCACTTAGTTCAAAACAGCTACTCACAGCATCATACACGTTCCTTCTTTTTCATCGAGCCTTGTGATCAAATCGCAAGCGTCTCGGCATCAGATCGCATGGCATTTACAATGGGGTTGGTGAAAACTTAACGGAGAACCCAAACAGGATACTTCGGAAATGCGACACGGAGTGATCAAACTCAGTTTCACGAGTCTCTCAAAACAGTGCATTTAGCACTTCTACCAGATAACCGTCTTATTCGCAAAACTCACTGCTCCTGATAAATTTTCTAAGGAATAACACAGAAAGCCGGGGAAACAACCCATCAAAACTGGTAGTTTCCCTCTACCTCTTACGTAAGCGTAAAAAAGAAGTTAAACAGATAATGTACGAGCAAATGACTCGCTATTACTTTGATAAATTCGGCACACGGAATAGCTCTTCATGTTAAAGTATTCAGGTAAACTGGAAGTTATTCAGCGAACATTTGACAATAGAATGAGCTGCAAGAATGAAAGCAGAACATATTGAATCCCACGAAAAGATCTTTGCACCATGAAGGATTCCGGTTTAATGGGTCAGTGTCAATCCTCCTGCCAAACGGTACAAAAAAACTCTCGCATACCACAATCAAACGGTTGACTGAACACCGCCACCTAGACTAGATTAATTTTCACAATATCATTATCCATGTATTGCGCATCCGTCGTGTAGAAACAGTTCACGTTTCAATTCATGCCACAGAGGAAGCTTTATCAATGAACGCAATTTGCATAAAACAAATTTACCAAAATGTAACTTTGCATTGCCTCTTTTGAATATTCTCAGCCAGAATATGGGGTTAAGTCACGTTTTAAAAGGAAATGATTTTTCCAGGCATCGTTTTAAAATACTCATTAGATATTGAGGTCCCCGAAATTGCTCCGTATGGTAAACGTAACTGAATTGCTTATTGTGCGAAATTCCATTCAATCTAATACACAGACTACATATCAGTAAAACCGGTTGTAGAATACTTTTGTTATCAGTCAAACGAGGCACTCGAGCGTTTTATAGGTCGAACTTAAAACAGTTCACCTGCAGGTACGTTTAGCAAGTACTCAGGTATTTCTCAACCTGAAAACGATATATAGGTTAGTGTTATGTCTGTCTATAATCAACCCGTCTTTTATCTTTCTGTCTTATATCTGGTGCAGAAAAGATCAAACGTGAAATTCCAATGAATCCAACCCCCGTGAACTTTTCCAACATATCTGGATACTTTCTCCCGACAGTTATGACTTCTGTCACACTAATCAATAGTTCAACGGTCTTCAAAGTAAGTGTTGATTGATTTTCCGGATTTCCGCATGTTCACAGGTTACTCTGTTTCCGTCTAGAATTACTGAAAACCACTTCGTTTTTGTGCTGTGTTTGATACAGCGCGAAGGGGGAAAATGACATTTAAAATATTCAACTTCCTGAAGATTTAAGTAACCAGGGCATGATTCGGCAAAAACGAAAGTAAAATGAGATGGATAACCTCACCCCCTCTCACTCTTCCAGTCCATGCACATTTTTATTTATGATTCTTTGTAGCGATTAACTTGTATGGTTGTTTTTAGGTGTATGCAGCGGAAGCGAGGTACGACCTAATTAACGTCGTTGTCGTTACTTGTCAAAGTTCAGCAATAGGACAGTTCCGGTGGATTTGTTCGATAAATGGTGCCATCTAGGTATTTGCGTCCGTTTGTTTTAAACTGCACAGTGAAAAATTATTTCCATCAGATACAAGGCAATAGTTAACCCACTTAAACGAAACCATGGCTCAGGGAACCAAATTGCCGTCTGATGCCAGCACCGGTCATATACCTTCAGTCAGTAATTTGCAAATCTTCAGAGTTCGTACAATATGTGCTTTAACATCAAATGTAACAGCACATCTCTAACTCCTCTGATGATATGTGTAATAATCGCGTGTTCATTCCTGAGGAAGAAGCTCGATGGATCACTTCGAACCCAACTACCCGATAAAGTAGCGTTTGAAGTCAAATAGACCCCTTGAGAGTTGGCCCATGAACAGCAAGGGCCGCAAATCGCAGTTCCGTTGGCACATACTCAATTGAGTTTGTACTCGGAGTCATTTTCTCAAAAAGGTTTTAGCTCGGTGTTTATTCATTCTAAACTAGTCCTTTTTCGGCATACATTTTCTCAATACGTTTTAATATCAAAATTTAACTGATCCTATCATATCTGCCTGTATCATCGCATTCATTGTTTGTCATCTTGATGCGTCCACGCATCTCGATCAGGTATATCAACCCAGAATACAATCTTGGAACTTCTCAATCGGAATGAAACCCTGTTGGCTTGAATATTGTTCGCTATTCATGCGGAAAAGACAGTAAGTAACAAACTTCAAGGAATCCGGTTCCGTATAATCGCTGCCCCTACGCAACCACCCAGATGCTATGTTTCTCTACTGACAAGGTTGTCAATTGTTTTTCAGTTGTCAAGAACACTGGCTCCATCCTGAGTAGAATAAACTTGTCAGCCTATGGGTGTGTGTGTGTGTGTGCGTAGTATTCGAACAACGAATATGCAACCCGTTAGTCATTTACGACCAAGCCAATTGGCATACAGTTACTATCTCCGTCCCAAAACAATTGGCCTCGTCGATTCGGGGTTTTGGATCGAAGTGAGGACACGTTCTCATGTATCGTCCGAGGGAAACAGGTTTTACAAGAAGGTGATGAGAGATAATCACATCTTTGGACCAATACCCGGAGTAAATGAATAAGATAACGTTAGCAATCTGTATGAGGCTGAGGGAAATCGAACGGAAAGAAAAATTGCCCTATTAAGAGGAATTGTAATGGTTTATTGATTATTAATGAGAAATCTTCACAAGCTGAACACACCTAGATAAATGCGTGTTTCTACTAACCTAGTGCAAAAACAGAAGCAATGTCATTATACCGCACTGCACTATCTCAAGGCCAATAAACTCTTGGCTTTGGTTTTGTGTTCTAAACGTGTTTGTGCTTCAACAGAGAGAACGGAGTGAGAGAGAATCAGAGCAGAAAGAGAAAGCCAAGGTGACGTAACTGATGCCAAACAGTCAGTGTGTTAAGCCACATGGAACTCATTGTGAGTGATAGATACTGAACGGTAAAGTACTCCTATCCTGCTTCACATTAGATGTTTCGGAATACGAAGTGCATTGAAGAAGCAGAACTTGTAGAACTCATTTTGCTTATCTGGTTTCCATCATTTCAATGTGCACTTGTGATGTTAATCTAGTTGTTCCAAACACGAAACATCACCTTGGTTCAGAAAGTAACTGCTAACAACACAAACCGCGCTGATTATTCATCAGAATCATTTTCTAACTTACATGTATTCATAGTTCGAATTGTTGGTTTTGGCAGTATCCACTGCAATCCCTGAACACTCTATCGAACAGCGCTGACACTTTTTATTTGATAGTAACTGAAAATCAAAAATTCCAAAACATTCTGAACAGAGTAAATCCACCATTTTCCCAGTTCATGTTCACTTACAGGTTTAAGTTAATCTGGTCACACATACATTCAGAAAACATTGAAATCGACTTTCCTTCTCACTGGAGCACATCAGAGGCGCTTTTTGACTCCTCCAACAGTTGAACGCCCGAAATTTTCACAAGAAAGACCATTCTTTTACAACTAAGTTAATCGTCTCACTTTGAAGCAAAATTTAAATTTGACCTCCTTTGAAGACGACTTCAGAACACCATTGAATCACTGATTATTGTTAGCCGGAGTATGAGCTGGAAGTGGAGCAACTAATGTTTGGGAATGATTGATTAGTTGGCTCAGGGCTTGTACGCGGCTATGAAGTCTGAGGGATCTTCAGTAACAATAATATATCACTTATCTCATATCTCCGCTTATCGGGAACGCTTTACGTACGTTGAAGTGCTTTCTTCGTTACGAAATCCACCGTTTTCGCGAAACAGAATTTGATCCACCATTGGAAGGAAATTCTGCGGTTTACGCGGCTTCGTGAGAAAATAAAAAAGCAAATTACGCCTATCTCCCTAGTGTGGATCAGTTTCAACAGGTCCGAATACTCTAATAGACTGTTTTAAAGTACCACTTGCACGCCTAGTGCTTACTTGAACGTCTGCACATTCGATTATCATTTTCTGACGGTGGGAGGGTGTATGGTCGTGTTAGTTTCCACTCATCCAGTGAAAGTCGATGAGATGTCGTTTACTGGATTCATTCAGTGATGACGGGAATTCATGTTGTACGGTACGCGTATGATGATATCCTTTTGTCATTTAAGATGCAGTGATAAAAATAAGCAAGTTGTTCTACACCATCTCATCACCAAGCACTGTACCCAATGACTGTTTTTTTGACTCAAAGAATATGAGTATGATAAGAATTAATCAGTAATTATAGGTAATATTCACGCTGACAAACTGACATGGTGCATCAATTTTATTTATACACACTTTCTATGCCAAGAATCACATCAATACTCCCAAAAACTGGATTCCATGTAGTTTTTAAATCGGCTTATGATAAAAAAGTTGAAATCTCCGATGATCCCAAACGACCCTTTAGCATGAACTTTAAATTGATGGTGAGGGCGGTGGTGGCCCGATGCTAATGTCACCAAATTATCACCTCGGGGGATGTGTGTTCGAACCCCACCACCACCGCCTGACTTCCTCCATGGCAGCCCTTTGATTGGCCGCTTACCCCTTCCTGAAAATTGTATCATTGTGTATTCAATAAAAAGGAAGTCAAATTAAAAAGAAATTAGAAAGAAAGATGTACAGTATAAATTATTTTTCTAACTTTGACAGAAATGAAAAGACCAAGGACTGCTAAGGTCGATATTGATACATTAGTCACATACTGTCTTTCCGCTACTACACATCACTTGTTTGAAAACATCACGATAACAAGGGAAGAGGGAAAAAAGGACATAACTAATTCCAGATTCTAAATGATCAGATCCGGGTCAAATCCATTTAGGAAAATGGTAATGATAGCCTCAATTCATATTGTTGACAGTCAAACACATTCAGTTCTGAGCCGGTCACGTATGTAGTAATGCCTCTTCCGAATTCGCAATGTACTTCGCTGGCTGGTACCATCATAGACCTTGGTCAACAACGCACAACCTCTTGAAAGTATCAATTCCACCTCTAGTAGCAAAATTCGACGGTGTGGAACATAAGAAACTCAGTCGATATTCAAAGCGAATAGCCAACGTTTTTCATCTTAGTATCCATTTAAACTTCTAGTAAGTTGTTTGTTCAGAACGCACACTCTTGTTTAATTTTGCCCAGAGCGAAAAGTTGGGCTCTATTTGTTCATTTATCAGTAGCCTCAGAGCGGATTTGAACCTATCAGCGACAACATTGTACAGCATGCGTTCTACAAACTGGGCTCTGACATCCGTATATCATCAAAATCATTCATCAAAATTAGGAAGTAAAAGTGTTTTCATAAAACCATTTACCCACCTGTTCTGAATTGAGCCGATGATGCACCTGATATGGCCTAAGATGAGGCAGATCCGGACTGCCATTCAAGTGGAAAGGGTATGGTTCTCGGGTGTCATAATACAGTGTGTTGTTGAAATCCTCTTGAAGGCAATACTCTAACGAAGGAGAAAATCGTTTCACTGGACTGCGGTAGGGTGTTGGGTGTCCCATGGTCAACTCAGTCACATAGTGTTTCCGCATAGAACTGGATGAATGTTGAATTCCAGTGGACGTTTGTACGGGTTTGTGTGAGGACGGGGTCAGGATTGGAGTTGGTACTGATCTTGGTGGTATAAGGGGTGTATGCGGGACCGAACGCAATTGCCCCACTGATTCAGATCGACCGTTCACATCACCAAAATCGTATTGATCCATAGCGGATTTCGTCGAGTTTCGACTGATTGGAAACTCCTGGCTGCTGACCAAATCCAGGCCTCGAAATCGACTGACTGTGTGTGAGGAGGTCAGTTCGTGTGGCCAGTCCGCTTGTTTTAAACGGAACAAACTATAATCTGTATTAGAACGTTTCAGTTTGGCACGACGGGAATCTTTGGCTGATTTACTTCGGGAGCTCGGAGTTGAGTCTTGACCGGAGCCGATCTCTACTGCACGTCCATCACGACTGGGTGTTGACCGATCACGACGACGCGGCGGACGTGAGGAAATCTAAAATGAAACCGATGAATCTAGTTCAGCGTGATTATAATTTACAGAAAAATATTCTATCTGAATCGTATAACTTTTCCAAACACGTTTAAATCGATTGTTTTAGACGAACTAACTCACCGTCAAACCCATGGACTAAGTTCCTTTGATCAATGAAAGTCAGTGGGTCTTTGAATAAAATGGGAGGGGCTGATCAAAGGAGCACGACACATCCACGTGTAGGTTTGACGTGAGGGCAGCAAAACATTGTCTGGGTCGATCAATAAACGATAAAGTTTTGCACAAATTGTTTAAATTAAATTAGAATTGACCACACAAAGAAAGAGATAAGTATAAATTGTCATACGGGCATGACATTTAAAAAAGGAAAAAAAGATTTTAAAGCATTGTTATCGATATGTGGAATGTATCAGAATTTATTTCATTTTCCCTACTGCTAGTAAAAGCGCTCGTGACCGACCGTCTTTACAGGGCCATTGTATAAGTTTGAAGTCTCGCGGCAAACATGTAGTTTGTTGTTTTGGATGAACTTCAACGTATGTAAGAAATCACCAATTATTGGAATCTATTCTATTTACCTCCAGAGGTCAAAGTATATTCCCTCCTTTTCTACTTATTATCAAACAACCGTACTTTTAATTGAAGGTCTAAGTTCTGAGACCGAATTTGCACCCTAACGAAGGAAAGTGCTCTGGGGCTATAACATAGCTCAGTGATTCCCATTTCTTTTTACGGTTAGAATAGTGACAGACATGATTCTCATGCATACAGTCGATAATTAGAATGTTTACTGGTATAACTTCGAGAATAACCTTAGTTGTATAACTGTCCATGAGGATCTCTTCGGATTTCGAAGTACCTTTATGAGGCTTGTGCGAAGACGAGGTTTACGATTTTTTGTCTATCCACCCATGTTTTCCAAAATGTTTAGACGAAATGAATCAACTTTACACATGTATCCCCGGACTATGAGACCTGAATAACCAAATACCAAAGGGTGACCAGCATGATTCTAATACCACAATACACCAAACCCTAAGAGAGTTAGGTTCGGCCGATCTTCCACGCGTTCAGTGGTTCTGACGGAATTGTATTGATCTGGCTGTGTATTGCAGGCAACCCAACCCGCAGGGTAAGCATTTTTTATATTTTCTTCTCAATCGTCTAGAATTTTTCATGACTGTTACCTTAATGGATAAGACCGGTTATTTTCCTTGGTCTTCTCTCCCTTACCCATTCTTTATACTGCTCCGATAAATTAATCATCACACGTGTTCTGTTCTGTGAGATCAGATACTACTATGCTGGAAATTATTGACGAGCAGAATAGTTCAAAGAAGATTAATGTCCTACTACTCGATTACATTTTGATTCCCGTTTTCTTCACCCGAACTTCTGACCGTTTGAAATGTATGCCCCAATAGTCTGTCATGCCCAGCTACACTCACTGTCCAAACTGTGTGCATATGAACTACCTCGTTCCGCTGTTGAGAGACAGAGAGGAAGAGCCGACAAGCTGTTTACCCTTATAATATCTGTACATTTCTCCACGGAGCTCAAAGATGAGGGTTTTTAACTACAAGCAATGCAAATGGTCAAGTTGATCGAACAAACGTACTAAAGAAAATTCGCTTCATATAAATACGACATGACAGGAGGGCGATTCACCGTGTGCTGATAGAAGCAAAACTAACCGCTAGGAACAGCCCATGTGGTAACACTTTGGACTCGTGAATCAACCGATTAGGGTTCGGTTCGTCATAAACTCGATGCGCAAGTTCTTCTGCGGATTCTGAACGCAAAGCAAATATCAGTGATCAGTGTTTTCAAGTGGTAGTTTACAACTGGGATTCAAAGGCGCGGAGTATATTCATTGGCATACACATGCCTTTTCACCCATACGGGATTATCCATCAGACCCTCAAGTGATGCAATAACTTGAGTGCCCACACAGTGAGAATTCACATCACTCAAAGTATGAATTAAAGTATTCGTACCGATCAGGTAGCCTTGATTATCAAACGTATGCGGGATTACCCATCCAGATCATTTTTACGACCTGAAGGTCGACGGAACACGGAACTTACATGTATTTGTGCTTAGCGCGCAATAGAAATGTGACCTTTTTCAAAAACCAATCGTTAAGCCGAGCTTCATAT